CAAGCTGCTACTGAGCACCCTCCTGCAGGCAACCCTGAGTCTAATCCGTTGTGGAAATTGCCTCAATAATCACCTTATCCAAGGGACCCCATCTCCACCCCACCTCCTTCTTAAGACTCTCCCATGTCCAAGGACTGATTGATATAGGGGATATCACTGCCGATCACTGCTTCTTTCCCTACCCCTCCATGGAAAGGCTCTCCTAGAATTACGCCAGCCCAGCCCTGCCCACTGCTCTCCTGGCACCGGTTTTAGAAAGTCTTGGGCCCAAATTGCTCTTTCTGACCTTCACATGAAGAAGCTCCTGTTTGGTCTGGAGAGATAAGGTAAGGCACTTGCCTTACTCACAGCCGACCCAGGTTCAATCCCTGGCACAGAGCCAGGAGTAAAGCCCTGAGCACTGCCAGGTGGGACCCCCAAACCAAACCAGAAAAAGCTCCGGTTTGGCTTTGCTTAGTCTTGTGTTTCCTGAGGAAGGAAGGCAAGTGAGGAGACTTCCAGAAGCGCTGAGGAAAAGGAAAGCATTAGATGAGACTACGAAATCACCGGGTCTGGGAAGCGCAGTGTGCTCCCTGCAGCCCGAGAAATGTCATCTTCTTTTCCTCTTTGCTTGTCTATGCTTCCCTTCCCTTCCTTTTCTATTCAGCAAAGAGCAAATAATCAGAGGGAAGTAAACCCCACAAGAATAAAGCTCTTAGGGGAGGGAGGCGTAAGAGTGCTGAAGTCTCCACCCAGGGGTGGCTGCAGGGCTGCAGGGCTGAAGGCAGAGGCAGTGAGCCCGCCGCGCAGAGGATGCTCAAAGCTGGGCTTTCTGGCCCAGAAGATTCCCCTATTCTTTGCTTCCAGCCCCAAATCCCACGCTTACTCACTTCACAGCACCTACTTTTAACCTGCCAAATGCCACTAAATCTGCAAATTAAACCTCTGATTACAGAATTCCTTTTGATGTGAAAAAAATGTGGGGATTTTTAAAATGTAATTATTCATACACTAAGATTTTAATTGTGCTGCTTTTCTCCCTCTCTCTTGCCTTTTTTTTTCTTCCAGGGTCTGGTGATTCCCCCGTGTGGGCATGCCCGGGCAGCACCAGGGGCTGGGCACAGGAAGGCGTCTCAGCAGTCGTCTGATGCATCTGATACCATTAGGACGCCCCATTCTGGAGAGGCGGAGAGGGGTCTGGGCAGCAGCTGGAGGCCCCAGGTTCCTGCTGAAAACTAGTCACACCAGTCCCCGGATGGCAGCCCACTGCCAGGTGCAGTAAGAACCCACACAGGAGCCTTGGACAAGGAGGGCCCAGATCCCAACCTTGGCTACGGGTGCAATAGCCAAGATACTGGGGCTTTGATAAGTTTGTGGGTGGACGTCTCCCTCTCCCACCTAAGATGCAGACAGATCAATTTGTGGCATTAAGTCTATCCTCAAAGTTGTGGTACTACTACAACTATTTCTTTCCAACTTCCTGCTCAGGGTCTCTCCTGGCTCAAGGGACCATGCAGTGCCAGGGATGGAACCCAGTTCGTCTAAGTGCAAAGCATGTATATTGAGTGCTCTCTGTCTCTCTGTCTCTCTATGTCTGTCTCTCTGTCTCTCTATGTCTGTCTGTCTGTCTGTCTGTCTGTCTCTCTCTCTCTCTCTCTCTGTCTCTCTCTCGCCCTTCCAGTATGTTTATCTTGCCAAATTAAAAACTTTGAACTAATGGAAACATGAACTCTAATTTTCCCTCTCTGCAGTTCTGGCAAATCAATAATCTGCTTTCTTTTTTGTTATTAGTTTGTTTCTGTTTTTCTTTCTTATCTAGTATTTTTTCTTTTTTTCTTCTTGGGCCAAACCTGGTAGTGCTCAGGGGTCATATATGTGGTGCCAGGAACTGAGTCAGGTTCAATCACATGCAAGGCAGGTGCCACAACCCCTGAACTCCATAAATTGTACTGCTCCTTGTATCTCACCTAATTGGAATTACTTACATTTGTCTTTTCTAGTCTTGGCCCTTTCATTCATTATGTTTAAAGTTCCTCCCTGCTGGTGCCTGTGGAAATGCCCCATCCTTTTTATGGTGGATGGTGTCCCATTGCATGCATGTCCTATAGCGATAGCACAGCGGGTAGGGCGTTCGCCTTACAAGCGGCCAACATGGCCGACCCGAGTTCAATTCCTCTGCCCCTCTCGGAGAGCCCGGCAAGCTACCGAGAGTATTCGATATGCCAGACATAGTAACAACAAAGTCTCCAATGGAGACGTTACTGGGCCCACTCGAGCAAATCGACGATCAATGGGAGGGCCTCGAGCAATTCTTCTATCATTGGACAGTTGGGTTGCCCAAGTAACCAAGTACCTTTAGCAACTCTAGAGTAATACCATTATGTACACAAGTGAGCAAGAATCTGATCAAGTCCCTGCTTTCAATTCCTTGAGCAATATAGCTAGATGTGGGTTTGCTGGATTATATGGTGCAGGCTAATCACTTAGTTGTTCATTTACTTCTTGCATGCAGGATGTAGAGGATCCCAAGCAATGCTCAGAGAGCTTAGGAGCTACTGCCAACTACACTTGGCCAAATGAGTGGGTCAATTTAATACTCGGGCCCAGAGAAGCTTAGGGCCACCAGACCCACATCTAGCAATGATGGGGGCCTCTAGGATTATAGCAGACTACACTTAAGGTGCCAAATGATGTGGGAATCAAACTTCCAGTGCCCTGTGCATGCAAGGTCCTGATTCCTGAGTTATCTCCCTGGTCCCAAATTAATCTTTTGGGATGATCACCCCAGGGTTGGTTCTTGGCCAGCCTGACCACAGTTCAATGTGAGAGCCCAAGAGTGCAGAACTGCTCTGGCCCTGCACAGTCCAGGTCTGACCTGGACCACCCCATCAATATTTGGGGGTTTTCAGAGCCATACCCAGCAATACTTGGGGCACCAGGGCTCCACCGAGTGATACCTGGAAGACCACCTGGTACCAGGTATTGAACCAGGGTAATTCACATGCCAAACACACTTCTAAGCCGAGGTACTGTCTCTCCAGACCCTAACATTGATCTTTCAAACATACAGAGCAACCCACTTGTTCCAAGTCTCCCTTGAAGTCAACCAGGGCCTGACTAATGAGGCCCCTTCCAGCTCACCCCTTGCTGTCTCTGCTTCAGGGATTCTCCAGCCCTAAGTGTGGGCCCCAAGTCCCAGCCCCTGCCCTGGTCTGTGACTTCTTCCAGAATACTCTTGTGCTGGAAAGCTGGTGGTGAGAGGAAGCTCATCCGCACCCAGAGCTAGACCAGCCCCTGCCCACCAGTCCCCATCCTTTCTTCCCTCCCTCCCCTGCCCCATTCATTTCTGCTCAGAGCTTTATCACCACCCAGAGTTACCTCAGTACTTTATTTCTCTATTAAATCTACTGGTCCCTGTCTTTTCCCAAATGTAAGTGTCAGAGAAGCAGGAACTTCCTCTGTTCTATACCTGCACCTAAAAAACATACCTGATTAACTGTCACTGTCATTGTCACTGTCCTCCCGTTGTTCATCGATTTGCTCGAGCGGGCCCAGTAATGTCTCCATTGTGAGACTTGTTACTGTGTTTGGCATATCGAATATGTCACAGGTAGCTTGTCAGGAAGGAAGGAAGGAAGGAAGGAAGGGAGGGAGGAAGGAAGGAAGGAAGGAAAAAAGGAAGGAAGGAAGGAAGGAAGGAAGGAAAAAAGGAAGGAAGGAAGGAAGGGAGGGAGGGAAAAGAAGGAAGGGAGAGAGGGAAAGGAAGGAAGGAAAGAAGGAAGGAAGGAAGGAAGGAAGGAAGGAAGGAAGGAAGGAAGGAAGGAAGGAAAAAAGGAAGGAAGGAAGGGAGGGAGGGAAAGGAAGGAAGGAAGTAGGAAAGGAAGGAAGGAAGGGAGGGAGGGAGGGAGGGAGGGAGGGGGGAGGGAAAGGAATGAAGGAAGTAGGGAAGGAAGGAAGGAAGGAAGGGAGGGAGGGGAGGGAGGGAGGGGGGAGGGAAAGGAAGGAAGGAAGTAGGGAAGGAAGGAAGGAAGGAAGGAAGGAAGGAAGGAAGGAAGGAAGGAAGGAAGGGAAGGAGGGAGGAGGGAGGGAGGGAGGGAAGGAAGGGAATAAAGACTTGAGTGGGAAATGCTCATTTTATAATTCTGTTCACCAAGACCAGAAAGGTGCTTTATCCATTTGAGGAAGCTGCCCTTAGTAAGTATCACAGGCTGGGCCCTCAAACAACAGAAATGTGTTCTCTCATGGTTTGGGAGGTTAGGAGCCTGGAGTGAAGGTGTCGGCAGAGGTGGGGCATCTCCTGACATGATGATCATCTTTTCCCTGCCTCATCCCGGTCCTTTGTTGCCTGTCTGCATGCTAATTTCCTCTTCCTACTGTCACAGTTCATGCTGGATCAGGACTCACTCTGAGGGCCCAGCATAAACCCCTCTTTAAAGACCTTCTCTCTTTACATAAATCCACATGATAGCCTTTTGGTACCTGTACTGCAAACCATAATGCCCAAAAGGAAAAAGGGAGAGAGCAGGTGTGAGAGAGAAGAAAACTGTCTGTCACAGAGGCAGGCTGGATTAGGGGCTGGGTGGGTGGATTAGGGGTTGGGCGGGAGAGGCAGCGGGAGCGAAGCTGGAGACATTGGTGGTGGGAAATGTACACTGGTGGAGGGATGGGTGTTGGAACATTGTATGACTGAAACCCGATCATGAACAACTTTGCAACTGTGTACCTCATGGTGATTCAAGCACTGTAGCACTGTAGTACTGTTCTCTTGTTGTTCATCAGTTTTCTCAAGCGAGCACCAGTAACGTCTCTATTGTGAAACTTGTTGTTACTGATTTTTGGCATATCAAATACGTCACGGGTAACTTGCCAGGTTCTGCCATGCGGGCGAGATACTCAGGTAGCTTGCAGGGCTCTCTGAGAGGGACAAAGAAATCGAACCCGGGTTGGCCGGCCGCGTGCAAGGCAAACGCCCTACCTGCTGTGCTATCGCTCCAACACGTTTTTTTTAAATTTATATTTTTATCACTTCTCGGCTTTTTGGCTAAGATCAAGTGTAGTAAACATATGACTGAAGGAAAACGCAATTCAAAATAATGCCCCCCCCCAAAAGTTTTGTATCTGTTCTACAATAGATTTCCAATTTTATATGCTAATTTGTTCTGCTTTTCTCTTTCATCAAACTGAGAGCAGAGTAAGGGCCCAACTTGGTTTGCTTATTTACCATATAAATATTTGCTTTTGTTTGGGGGCCACACCCAGCTCTGGGGTTACTCTTGGTTCTGTGCTCATTCCTGGTGGTGCTCAAGGACCATAGGTGGTAATAGGGATTGACCAAGGGTCAGCTGCATGTAAGGCTGTACCATCTGTTCAGCTCCTTAGGTGCTGGACGGTCAACATTTCAACACCAATCCTACCACCATTACACCTTCCCACCGCCATTTATTTCATACTTTCCTACTACCATTTCAAGCCTGCCTGCCAGGGGCAGATGCTAGATTATTTATTTTCTATCGCTTATTATGGATATCATGAGAGGTCGCGCAGCTGTAAAAGTGGCCACACACTTCTGGAATTCTAAAGTTGTGAATGGTTGGGGTCCAGAGACATCTCTGTAGGGAGCTAATCCATTTTGAGATTCATTTGGCAGTCTCTGGATCAAGGCCGTTGTTGATGTGTTGAGATGGCCCCCCAGGAGGCTGTTCATGGGCGTGACAGCCAGGACCCCAAGAGGGTGGGAAGACAAGAAGGACTGGCCCCTCTCCACTGCCCCCATGTGGCCTGGAGTCGTAGTCTTAGTCACTGAACACACATACCTGGGTTTTCCTTCTGGAAGCTCTGGCCACTGGGGTTTTCCTTCTGGAAGCTTTCCTTTTGGCGCCTGGAGTTTCGTCTGGAGTGGATGGAGAGGGCACATCCACTCCATCAGAGGTACCCCAGTGCAATTGACTCGGCACAGGGTCTGGAGAGATCGCCAAGCTACCGTCTTCCGGGATTCATTTGCTGCCAACGTTTCTGTAGGAAGGACATGAACCTCCCACGTACAGTCTCAAGCAGGAAAGATCCATTTCCTCCTATTCTGCTCCTCAAATACCTTGAATTCTATCCATCAACCTTAAATTAACACCCTATAGCCCCCCAAAAAACCTTCAGAGATACTCGAGTTGGGGGCAGAGATGGATGTAATGTCTCCAGGCCCAGGAACAGTGTGCAATGAGGCCTCATAATTGAAAGACATAAGTAATAATGTATGCGTATGAGTAAAGGGAGAGAGAACTACACTCTATACAGGCATGTATATTCTTGACATATATATTTATATAATAAGTTTGATAAGTTTTCCTCTACTTTGGGGAGCCTCCAAAGCAGTGTTCAGGAGACACCAAAGTTACTCTCAGCCATGCCTCACCCATCTGTCAGTGTAGACAGATAAGCACTTGGTCCTGGTGATGTGTAGCTGGAGTCTGGTGGTGTCAGGGCCCACCAGTACCATCCCAGTGACTTTTGGAGAGGCACCAGATTACACTTGGTGGCACATCGGGCCTCTTACATGAAGCACATACACTCCAGTCTGCTGAACTATTGGTCAGCCCAAAACTTAATATAGGATCTTTGTATATCCACATTTGCATGTATGTGCATGATCAGAAAACAAGACCACACAGAATGGTGCCTGGGCTTCTCAGCCCTGGGGTCTGGAGAAGCTTTGGACAGTGCATTCCATGGGGCAGTCAGTGGCAGCGTCCATCTGGTTTCTTTCATGTCCAAGCTGCAGAAGATGGTGGCTTGAAACCCACCCACTGTGTGGTGTGGCCCGAGGGAGCTGCAGGAGGCGCTGTTGTGCACAATCCGAGTGCCCGCCATGCCAGGATCAGAATTCTCTAGCTGCTGCAGAGAGTACTCATACTAGGATACTAGAATACTCATAGTAGGACCCCAGCTGGGCCTCCTCTCTGAAACCAAAACTCTTTAAATGAGCAACAAGCACCAGACCAGCATTCTTGGTGTGTAAGAACTCTCAACCATTGGTGTGTGTGTGCATGCATACGTGTGTGTGTGTGTGTGCCTGTGAGTGTATATGTATGTGTGTGTGTGTGTGTGTGTGTGTGTGTGTGTGTGTGTGTGTGTGATCTTGAGAGCTTCTTTGTAGACATTTTCTGCACTGTCTAACTGGCCACCTTTAAAAAAATCATATCTGTGTTTGAGAGACAACACAAAAGGTGAGACACTTGCCTTGCATGCAGTGCCCTTGGCCAACTCTGGTTCCCCAGCACCACATAAGAGCCCCTGAGCACATAGCAAGGAATAGACCTTGAGCACTCTCAGGTATGGCCCAAGTCCACCACCCCACCACCACCACTTCCAACATCAATAATCCTTGGGGAGTCTGGGGATGACTTGGTGGCAAAAAGCACTTGTCGTGCTAGAGTTAGGCAGGAGTTCAATCCCTGTTTCAGCTGCCTCTCTCTCAACCCTTGTTTTTTTTTCTTCCTTAAATTTTTATTAGTGAAACACCATGAGGTACAGTTGTAGACTTACAAGTTTTTGTGCTTGGGTTTTTGTTATACAATGATCGAATGCCCATCCCTCCACCAGTACAACCCTTGTTTTTAAGAGAACAACATCTTAACAGACAGCTGGGTGCATGCAAGCACCCTAGCTAAAGTATGCAAGCACCGCAATTAAAATGCCTCAGTTCCCCACTGAGTGAGAGAACATATCTGTAAAAGGTGCCTCAGGTAGAGCAGTAATATCCAAGATCTATAAAGTATTTACAAAGTTCATCAACAGCAACAAAATCCAGCAACCCCACCCCAAAAATGAGGAAAGAGATGAACAGACACTTAAAGACATACTGACAACCAATATGGACAAGAAAAATGCTCATCATCACTTATGAGCAGGGAAATGCAAATCAAAACAGCAGTGAGATATCATCTCATACCAGTGGGAATGGCACATATGAAAAGGTCTGGAATCAGTCTTTTGTTGATGGGGTTGGGGTGAGAAAAGAACCCTCATCCACTGTTGGGGGTAAATACCATTTGGGTCAGCTTCCATGGAAAGCAATATGTGGATTTTACTAAAAATCGTACTTTTTAGTAGAACTTCCATATGTCATAGAACTCCCGTATGACCCAGCAATCAATACCACTTTTTGGCTTCTTCCCCTAAAACACACACACACACACACACACACAAAATAATTGGAAATGATACATGGACACCTATGACACCTATGTTCATTGCCAGATTTAGTACAGTACCTAATATATGGAAATAACCCAAATGCCCAACTATGGATCAATGGATCAAGAAGTTGTCATCTTGCCAGGAGTGATTCCTGAGTGCAGAGCCAGGTGTGACCCAAAAAACAAAACAAAAAAAAAAGTTGTCATCTATCTACACAATGGAATACTACACAGCTATAAGAAAGTCCAAAATAATACAATTTGCCACGTGAATGGAGATACAGATATCATGCCAGTGAAGGAATACGAAAGGATAAAGATGGAAAAAGAATGTTCTCTCTCATAAGTGGGACATAAAGACACACAGTAAGGGAGCAACAAATGGAGAGTTGGCCCTCAGAACTGAGTTTGAGAGGGGCCGGAGTAGGACAGGAAGGGCAGTGAGGGTGCTGGTGGAGGGGACCAGGCATTCTGGTGGTGGGTGTGGTGTTGAACAATGGGTGCACAAAACTACCATTAACTTCATTGTAAATCAGTGTCTCAGTAAATACGTGTATTATAAAGAATACAAGTATTATGAAACAAGATGACTGAAGTTAAGAAAAGTGTGAGCATACCCAGGAGTGGTCCCTGAACATACCAAAAGAGCCTTCACCAAAGGATGTGTGAGCACCTGGCCAGCCGCGGGAACTTTTCCCTGATTCTAGCCACACCTTCTGAGCAGAACAAGCATACTCAGGACAGCAGAAGCCTGCGAATCCCCGGGAGCACCTTGGCTGACTGCGCAAGCATGGTCACAGATGCGCGAGTCCAGCACGCACCAGCCCCTCCTCCCCTGTGCTCGAAGCCACAAAGAGCAGGGGAGGGAGGGCAGGAAATAAACTCCGTAGAAGTCTCTGGATTAAAGAATTTAAACAAAGTCATGGCATAGTATTAGCATCTGCATTTGTATTGGCATTTTATAAGCACAAACAACAAAACTATCTCAATTGCCAGCAGCCGGTGAGGAGGCAGGCGGATGTGATGTGTTGCAACTGGGTGTTCAGGTGTTCTCTTAATCAAGCAACCAAGACACAATCCATGGCGGGGAAACAAGGAGGTCTTTATTACACCAGCTGATCAGACCGGTGGGTCTAGCCCTAGACAAAGCTCAGGGGTCCAAGAGCCTGCTTCTACAGGACATTACTGCAAACTCATCATTTCGTTGCTTCACACTCAAGCAATGCCGGGGGGAGGGGGAGTGCATGTACTTGATGGCATCTTATCAGTATGGTTACAGAAAGTTTCCAAAAAGCAGCGTTTTCTTAGCTTGGCACAGGGACATTTGTCCCAAGTGCAGACAGGTTGGGGATCTTTTTAAAACTTTCCACCCACAAGCAAAATCATCTCTTCAAAGCACATTCTATAAGTCAATTATAAAACCAAATATATATATATATATAATAAATTTCCATCAGAATAGTGTGACAAGCATAAGGTGAGCTAGTCAGGTCTAGTAATGTCCACTTGATATTGCACATGCCAGGATGAGGGTGTATCTGGGAATGGACGGAGAGCAGAAGGTCATTTTAGTGCAAAATGGCCTCAAGGATTCAAGTGGCCATTAGACAACACTGCAGATTTAAATGTAGCTTGAGAACTCTGCTGCTTCCATTTTTTATATTTTTTCCCTTCAATTTCTAATAGCATACAGTTTTATTCTTCATTATATAGAAAATATTTTATTATGATTTTTAAATCTAAGGGCCTGGAAAGATAGTACAGCAGTAGGACACTGGCCTTGCATGCAACCAACCTGAGTTCCATCATCCCTTAAGCCCTGGAGGGAGTGATTCCTGAGCACAGATCCAGGAGTAACTCCTGAGCAATGCTGGGTGTGTCAAACCAAACAAAAAATATAAAAAACTAAAGTTTTAATATTAAAAAACTAAACTTTAATATATGATTCTTAGCTATTCCCGAAAGTTGAAAATCAAAGAATAGTCACACACAGACAGTTATTAAAGGATTAATATGT